GCGTAACTGCATCGGAATGACAAATCGGATCTGAAATCTTTTGACATCAGCGGAAAGCTAACTGAATGTTCTTCGTGGAGGCAGGAGGAGACTAGTGCTGTGGAGTGCTGAAGATAACCCAAGTTTTTTTGGCCCACCCTGTACATCGTGACGCTACACGCTGGACGATTGATTGGAGACTGGATATCGATGAGAAGAAACGGTCAGAAATTGTCATTCGTAATTTTAGAATTTTTTCACAATCGATGATTCCTCATTCTGGTTAGTGGCTGGTCAAGGATTTTTCCTGACGGAGAACGGACCGTCGAGGAATGGGTTAGGAAGTTCGATGTCGATAGTTTGAGAATGGCCGGTGTCAGGAACCTATGGCTCATGAACTAAAATTGGTTCAAGAGCCGAAAAGTTTGTCTAATTGAGTCGTGACTGAAAATAATGTTGTTCCTCATTTTTCTCATTCATCAAAGAATGCGTACGTCTGTTGCCGACTTCAGGAAACTTTTTTTTTTTGGAAAATCTGTCGCTCACAAGCGCTTGGCTCAATCTTGATATGGCTCACATGGCCAAAAAGGTTCCCAACCCTTGCTTTAAAGGATCTGCATAATGTGGTATCGAGTTCAGATATAAAACACAAGGTGGGCCAGAGAGAAGGCAAGTGAAATCAATATTAGCAGATTTTCTAGATCAATGTCCTGTAAATATCCCGTAATCCTCGTCACAAGAGAGGATTTTTTGCAGATAGAATATCACCCACCAAGTAATTGAATAGGTCGTTACAATGGTCTACGTGTTAAACCGAGAGTTCTGAACTTCAACTTATCATTCTCTTTGGCTACGCTAAATGCAAAATAATTATGAAGGTTTTTTTTACATTGGTTTATTGGTAAACATTGGTTTTTTTTTCCACTCTTCAGAGGAGCGAGAAGAAAAACATCATGGCTAAAATAATGAATCTCCTGCCTTGAGCATTGAAATTTTGCATTAATCATCTAATTTTTTTATATTATGACCAGTATCCAATTGTTCACTTCGACTTGAATATTGTGAGGACTCCGAGTGGAAAGTCAACTTAGTGCAACTCGTTCCGTCAAGAATTAGGACAAAACCACCCAAGTTCGGACAATACATAAGTACAAAACTAGGCATTCGCAAGGTAGCCTTCAGAAATGGTTCTTCCTAACATGAGATGAACGTATTACTGAGCGAAGAAACGCGGTAGTCATTATGACTTCGCATGATACCAAGATATTGAGCTTAAGCCAATGCTATATCGCGAACAGGAGGAATTCTACAAGAAACCATGAGGAGAGAACCTTACTTTTAGAACGTTTCACACGTGACATTGTTATTTTTGTGCTCAATTCTTACTTTCCAGGAAACTAGGAGGACATGGAGACCTGTTACGCAGAATGCATGTGCATTGATCAGATTATTGTCTTACTTTCGGTGTGTCCGAACTTATGCCAAGAAATGGTTGAGAAACTTAAGTTCGGACATATATTCATGGGTGTCATTCATCGATATGCATACTGTATATAGCCGATCGTGACTGAGTGACTGACGGTAATTCTAACCGTGTTTTAGAGAAGTTATTATAGAAATCTGAAACATGGTAAACAATTAACTATTGAGATGTAAAGTTCCGAAAAAATCAGACTTTGGAGGTACATGCCCTGGGGCACCCAATTAGAGGGGAGATTTTTCCAAATATATATTTATTTTTTTTTTCTTCGGCCAAACGGAGAAACATGGAAAGCTAAAACTTGGCATGCCCATGGAGACACTGAATTAAAGAAAAATATAAAATGTTGGATAGCATGCCATGGAGGCATATTTCTTGGGGTTGATGTTTTCAAGTAATTTTTTTTGTCCTAACGAATCGGGCAGAAACGGAATGGTGAAACATGGTACATATCTACCTTTTAGGGTGCTGAGTTTAGAGAAACTTACCTTTTGGAGGCAAATGCCCGGGGGCACAAATTTCAGGGGAGATGTTCACCATTAGTTTCTTTTTTTACTTCAGTCAGACGTAAAGACGTGGAAACCTTAAACTTTGAATGATCATGACTACTGAGCCAAGGAGTTCAGGAAAAAATGTATTTTTTCGGTGCATCCCCTGGGGCATATTTTTTTAGGGTGACGTGTTCAAATATTTTTTTCCCTTCTAGTGAATTGGGCAGAAACAGAAAAGTGAGACTTGGCTCATGCATAACTGGGGTCATGTTGAATCCAGAAAAATTTTGCTTTTGTGGAGCAAACCCTTAGGGCTGAACTTTTGGCTGGGTCGGCTTTTCCAAATAAATGTTTGCACCAGCAGAAAGAGGAAACGGATAAGGCTGAAACTTGGTAGACAAGTGGTTTTCCGAGTACTAATTTCAGTAAAAATATTAATTTTGTAAGTTTAACCACTGAGGGTCCTTTTTTTATGCAAAAGGCGAATTTTCCTGAAACTTTTTTGATCCAAAGAAAAAGAGAACTGAAGTAAGTCCAAACTTGTAGTTGACGTTCCTGTTCGATTGTTGAGTGCAAATCCGACTTTTCAAATGTGTCCCTTCAGGCCAGATTATAAAGAGATTTGAAGTTAGGCATACAAGAAATAATCAGAGTAATTATTCAATAAAAATATCGGATTGTCCCCTCATGGCACATATTCTGACAGGCGCATAATTTTCATACGTTTTTTCCGCTTTAAAAATGTATTAATGAATCATTACCCTAGACAATGAGCTCCGAAGGCGTGGCCATAGTGAGTTCATAAATATGATGTCCTATTGAGATGAAAAACGTTTAGAGTTGACAAAAGATCAGTTGAGTCATAATTTAAACAGAAATTGTATTTCGAAACTCTATTGGAACTTTCATAACGGGACAAGTAACATCGGACACCGTCGAGCACATACACAAAAGTACAGCTTCATGTACAGCTTCTGGGACCAATGCTCGAAAACTAGAGCCAAGATCTGAATCTTTTCCTCCTTTTGGTTCGACTCATTGAAGCGCTGTCGCAAGGCTTCAAAGAGTATTTCGTGATACCTTGCAGAGAACATTGGATCTGGTTGGCTAAAGACAGCTCTAGCTGCTGAGGCTCCAATTCAAGGCACTGAGACATCTTATTAGAGACTGCGTGAAGGACTTTCCTCACTTTGGCCATGGCATACGTCTGCCATCTTTCTTGTCCAACATTCCGCTTAAGTGGTGTTTCTCCAATAGCTGCTAGGGACACGTCCAGATTCTTAAGCTCTGCTTCTGGCGGAAGGTAATTTTCCAAAGTGATGACAGAAGATTCAGAAGTAACCGACTTGAATGGAGAGGTAGGCCGAACTGAAGCTCTGCTTGCGGACTTGGGAGTCTTTCCCAGTCATTCTGCTGATTTTCCTTGACAACCGCATACAAGGATGTGCTGCAGTTATTGCGTTTCTGTCCAGGAATCAGAGAATGCTGCAGGTAATCCGGAGCTTTCATGCTACTCCAGGGTGATGAAGCGCTTTCCTAGTACTGCTTTACAGTGCTTTTTGATAGAAAGATTATATATTTATTTTACCCTTTGATGCTGTTTGAGAACATTCAATGCACGTCCATTGGATGTTCAAAAAAGTATAATTTGACCTTTTTTTGATTGCCCTGAATTTCAGAAATTTAAGCAGTCAATAGAATTTTCCAAAGGTCGTTCATGGAACTTTAGCAATACCTTAAATGAAACAGTCATTGAACATACATTAAGGGCTTGGGTGTTACTTGGGTGGCAGTCTCTGTAGATCATTGTGACTCCTTCCACGACAATGGAGGACTTCATTTCCTCTGGTTTGTAGCAGGTTTACCTGCCACTAGTAAAAATAATTGCGAGCCTCATGTATTGGCATTTTGCTCACAGTTGCTATTGAATCAAAAATGCCAATTGATTCGAAGAGGTTAGTATTTATTCCTTAAGCGCATTGATCAATATATAATATCCCTGTCAAACTTGAGCATGGAAAAGAAGTCTGAATGTGCTCAGAGTTGGAAATCACGCAGATGAGCCAGATGCTAACGAAACTTTGTTAAGTTGGAAAACCCCATTATAATTATACAATCCTGGTTGCTCTATCTACCCGGCGATGGGTAAGAGGAACCTTTCGACTTGTATGGTTTGAGTCGGAACGGGACCCATGGATATACGTGGCTCCCCACTGCCGAATCCTGAAAACATAGTATGAAAGCTGATTAATTCATTCCTCTTCGTCATACGAAAGGACAGGGGTTGAGAAAAGGTGAGAGACCTGGAAGGGAGAGGGACGATGTATATGTTTTTGTGGTAACTCTTCAAGAAAGGCGGAAGGTTTTCCTTCAGATGTTCCCTGTCGCGAGCCCCTGTTTTGGGTCGAAGAAACCCTCTTTCCATCATGTTTTCTCTCAAATATCCTTATGACTTTCATGCAAGTCACGTTCCGGTATTTAACGATTCCCAAACGTTTCATCGTGAGGCAGTTCACAGACAGTTCTCCGCAGTAACATTTCCGACAATCAATTCCCTGAGCTGTTAGTTCCCAAAAGAAACGAATCGCATAGACCTGTGCATGAATAAAACCCTCCCATTCTGGCTTTTCATTCATTCTTTTTTCATGAATAACTTTCAGCTGAGACGCTCTGACGGGGATTGAAATAAAAAATACGAAATAGACGGAACGTAGTCTTCTTCTTTGGCGAAATTGGATTGCCTAATCCCCATCATCTACTGCATCTATTCATGAATTGCCTACAGCGACTCTACCAAGCGTTATTTCGGAACTGTAGAAGGAAACAATTCCGGTAGGATTCGGTTTCTCAGTTCTTGCTCACTGATTTCCGGGACAGAAGATCCTTTCCCTTTTCGCTCTTCACAATTTCCATAGTTTCACTTTCATCTCTGAATATATGGTCACTTAATGATCTCCTTTCGACGGCACTTCACTTTTCCTGATCTATTCTTGCTTCACATATTTATCGACATTTCCCCTATGTTACTTTCTGCCTGGTAAATGGAGGGTTTACCCTGCAACAGTCTCTTCAAGGAGAATGTAGGGTTTTTTTGGGTCATCTTCAATTAGACAATTGCCTTTCTCTAGATTTGCATCAATGACACCTGTTTTGGGACGCCTTTCACAAGGGGTATCACCAAGTTCTGTTTGCCTAAATAGGAACCGCTAAAATTAGTCAAACAGAAACTTTTTATGTGTAGCTCCAATGTCAAAGCTTTACAAAGCCTTTCAAGGCACTCAGAAACATTTTCTCAGAGCTTGAAGCTACAAAAACATGAACATGATCATGACTTTGTGAACAACCCTCGTAAGTGTGCGGTATTTTAAACTTAAAGTCAAACCTAAACTACAGCCACGTCCCAATAGGGCAAACGATTACCACAAGGGGTTAACGTAAAATAGAGAAGCGGATGAAAAAGGACACAAAGCATAATACGAGAGTAATTCCAGCGAAATTCCAGACGAGCAGACCTAAGGAAACGATGATGTAGGCCCATGTCACATTCCATATCCACCTCCATGAGCTGAAAAACAAGAAACGTTATTTGATAAATCAACTTGGAAAAATAAAACATTCCACAAGAACTAGAAATAAGGGCCTCTATTCATTCATGGTGTACAGGATCGATCAAAAGTCTAAATACAGTTTGTTTTTCTCTATGGACATTTTCTATGTACATCTTCCTTATATTTTTTATTCATATATATGACGGTATCCGAAAAGCAACGCCACACAGACAAATGACCCTTACCGAAAAAACCAATATTCAGGAAGGGCATGCTTAATGGAGTGTGCACCAGAGACAAGGGTTTTCTATAAGTAGCACGAAATTCGAATTAAACGAGGATGATGCGCCTAAGAATATTGCGATAGATATGTTCGAAGATATGTCAGAGCCAGGTTTACTAAAAATGTCAGACATTCTATAGAACTGACGAGAACTGTTCGACTGACTCGAGAAAAAGATTCAAAGTTATATTGAGAACATTGAGAATAACGAATCACCAAGAGGGACAGGGAATTTAAAAAATCCGATCAGTTGTCTCGGCAAAATATGGTGAATCAACAGGATGCTAACCTCATGAGGACATGAACAAAACTCCGTTGAGGAGCATCAACAGGAGCCAGCGGGTGTATCAAATCTTTAGGGATGCCATGCTCCTGGATCACGACCGGAGTATTCTTCTGAATATCCTCCATGAACTCACGAATGCTATCCGTCGTCATTTTCCACAGCAACTCGTTGATGGACATTACTTTCGCGTCTTTTCCCTTCCCCTCATCATCATCGCTGGAAAATCCAGCACTTTCATCTTCCTCTTCTTTGACGAAGTAAGAGGAACTATTGACGGGGAAATGCTTTTTGTATTTCAATCCGGCCTCTTTCGCTGATTGTAGGACGGGTAGACGTTTGCTGTCCGCAAAAGTGCAGAACAAATAGGAAATCTTCTGTGCCTCATCTCCCAAGACTTTGCCCATGTTCCCCATGACAATCTTCTGCTCTGCTGTCAATCTCCCCTGTTCAATTGAAGGAGACGGAAACCGTGCCAGAAATAAATGTTATCAGTATACGCTAGAGAGGAAATTATCGACATGAAAAGAGAGTTTAAACATAAAATCCAGTAATCAGACAACATTTCAACTTGAAGCTAATATTAATATTGAAGTCCTTGATGTCTCCAACGTGAACATTGCTCCGAAGTGCAAAACATGTATAGTTAAGCTATCCCAGCACCCCTATTGTTCGTGTTCTAAACTTAAAATGCCTTATCTGAATTAAATTTCGAATGGTACAATATGTTTTAAAAAAACTCCACCTGATGAGTTTGAAAGACTACAGAATGGCGAGCATTCTGTTCTGGAAAAGAGAGGGAAAGGAGCTACCTGAGAGCCTGGGAGAACATAGACGACGGCGTGGATTCCCAGCGGGTGGTTCATGTGGATGAAGTCGCGGATGGCTTCCGTCAACTGTCGGTCCATCTCGGGAGTCCCTTTCTGAAAGCCCGGCGTGTCAATGAGGGTGACAGGACGTGGAAACCTTTGGGCGTCTCTGGTGAAATATGTGTGCGAGGTGATCGAATTCGTAGGTCCGTCCTCCGTCTTCATTTGAAATCGATAGGAATCCTGGAACTCCACTCCCAAGCCATAATTCCCCATGACCTCCTGCAACATTGACTTCCCTGTAATAAAGAAAGGAAGTGCAATTCTCGAGTCTCGCCACTACTATTATTACTGAAATGGTATCGTATGACATGAGAACTGACCTGATCCAGTTAATCCGAGAAAGAGAATATCTAGGCATTTTTCTCCTTGCCTTTCCTTGCCCATTTGGTATATTTCATCTGCACTGATGCGCCTGAATGGAAGGCAGTACAACTGAAAGCCCTCCCTTCGGTTTGGAATGCTCTTTCTCTTCAACTCCTCATGAAGTCTTTCCTTTTCAGGCATCAACATATCTGAATCCCTGGAAATGTACATTTCAGAAGTGGATCATATTCTGCCTTGCCTTCTCCAGACGAAGGTGGTGGAAAGACACACCATTGTCATCAGGCATAGCGCCTATATTTTTTTATTTTTTACCATCTCTTGTAAAATGAACTTCGACGTGTAGCAATTGGAAATACTAGGTTGTCACGAAAGATTTTGTGCATACAACGAAACAGTCCGCGAAACACGATTTTTTCGTCACACATTCTGAACGCTGTAATTTTTTTAATTATAAATTTAGCGATTTGTAAAAAAAAAAAACATTTGCACGCGGCATGAAACGCACTTTCGTTCAGAATTTGTGACGAAAAAATCGTGCTTTGCGGACTGTTGCGTTGTCTGTATGCACAAAAACTTTCGTTACAACCTAGTAGATTAATTTATGTTATTCATGTTCAAGGGAAACGTTTAAGAGACGAATGAGCAAGTGTTTCAATAACTCTAGTACAGCAAAAAATATTCCTGTACCAGATGGTAGTGGGCAATCGTGTGAGAATGCTGACTTCCTTATCTTTGGCTGAGTTCACTACGTCAGAAAGAACACTCAAATGTGCATTCTCAATCAAATCACCTCTTACCATCTCTTTATGGAAGGAATCGGTTATACTAAATGTATTCATTAAAGATATTTGAATTAAGACCGTCATACAGGAAGGAACTTTTTGCTACTTCGTGTTCATATCATTCATTATATTTTAATGATTCGACGGAAATATCCCCAGATGAAGAAAAGTATCCTATTACTTCCATTTACGTGGCAACACAGCAAACATTGAGGTTAGCAACATTACATTAACATTTATGTTCATTCAATTACTCCCAGACTAATTTAGAACTATTTATTTCTTCTAAAGTGAACATTAAAATGGTGCTTGCTAATGTCATGTGACATTTATGCATGAGCATAGGCTGAATATTCGCAATGTACCAAACGTTTTGCTTTAGGGGGTCCATAATGCCGGTATGTGACAGACTAAATCTAAATTGCCCGTTTCCTCTCGAGTTCTCTTTCGAAATTTTCTTCATACGCAATATGTAATAAAATGCAAGGAATATTGCTCAAGGAATCATTTCGAGAACATCCCCACCCCTTAAAAAGTCTATCCCTATTATATGTACCCCTAAAAGTAAGATTTACTTTTAATTCAAACCGGAGGACCGGTTTATAACTCAAACAGGAGGAATAGGGTTAAATACACAGCGTGCGAACCTAACCGCTAGTTAGGCCAAGCGACAATTATGTGTTAGTGTGCGTGTGTGACAACTCCACAGGCCAAACGTTTAGAGATATGAACATGGGGTTTCCACGGAACTCTTCCTTATCTTTTGAAGATGTGCCTTTTCGAGATGAAATCTGCAAATCTGTCTCACGAAAGTAAGCGGAGGCCGCTTCCACGGAAAATCGTGGATATGCATCATTATACGTTGACGTGCGGAGGTGCCACTTGGAATGATAAGTGAAATGGCCTTTGACAAGTAATGTCGTCGAGCTCAGCGTTGCATCGCAGTTTTGGTTCTGGGATTTTACTAAATACTTTTTCTTCGCCTTTGCTGACACAATGCTCATTCACATGATCGGGTGCAAGGGGTAACCACGGGTCAAATGAGATATCCAGGCTTTATACGTATGACAGTGCCCAAGTAGCACATGAACGCTCTCGAGGATGTTCAAATTGTGTTCAAAGAGGTTTTTGGACGTCCAATGCACATGGATGTGCACCTATTGTGCGCTCAGTTAAGGTGCCGTTGGATCGCAAATCGTGCTGCATTTGAAGGACAGTTAGTATAAAGTTAAAAATATGTTTTCTTCAAGCAAATTAATCCATCTGACAATGGTTTGAACCTAAATTCCGCACAACCGGCGAAAGACGACGCCAAAGTATAGCGGGACAATTCCTGATACAATTAGCATTATTCCGAAATACCTTCCACACTGCCGCCGATCTTTCTCTTCATAAACCAGAGGGAAGATATCTGAATTATTCAACAAATCAGTCTGAAGAGATAACCCAGTCCAATGAGTCTCCAGAAAACTCAGGCTCGACAGATAGAGGCGGGATGGTTCAATTTCGAAGGTCATGTGGCAGGAGAGTTAAAATGAAAGAATGAAATGTGTATCACTCCTCCTGCGAGACGGGTACCTAGTGTAGGGCGTGTCTGATTTGAGTATGAGATAACTGCGGATAAGATGAAGGTTTACGTAGAATGCCAATTACTACACGCTTCAACACCAGATTATCTCATTTAAGAGATGATCCAAGCAGACCGTTTGGCTCCATAATTTACTCCTACCCCTTGCCACAGGAGAAGGGCTTTACTTAGACTAGATATAATGCAAGTGATGAAGAGAACGTACCCAATACGTTAATTGCATATTGGATTAATCCTGAATGAGAAAGTTCAAAAACCCTTTTCTTTTCTGGGAAATATAACATTCATGTTCTATATGAATTCAGAATGTTCATGGAACGCTTAAATTGTATTGTTTTCAAGCAGTCAATAGAACTTTTCCATGGACTTTCATGGAACGCTAGCAATACCTTAAATGAAACGTTCATTGAACACGTTTGGGTGCTACTTGGGTGATAGTCTCTGATGATCATGGTGACTGCAGCAGGCATACCAGCCACTAGTCAATACCACAAGTACTACCAGTGTACCAAAGATCGACTTTTCAGCGTATCTGAAACAGTGTCAGTCAGGTAGTTAGTAGGTCACGACCGTCTATGTCCAAATTATCACATGTTTGGTACAACGCCCGATCCGACACACCCATTAACAGTAGGTTAGCTTTGAAAAATTATATTTTCCACTTCAAATATGTTCATGAGGACATGATGAACCCACTAAAGATAGGTAATAATTACTTTTCAATTATCATGAAGTACTAGAAGCAAAATCTTTAATCAACATTTGAGTTAACCAAGTCCTTCTCCACCCTGGAAAGAAAACTGCAGAACTGAAGTGATGGTTAAGTTACCAGAACCGAAGAGTAAGAGGAAGCATGTCCTAACCAAGGGAACAGTTCACTCGGAAACGAGAATGGAGGACGAATGCTGTTCTGGTCCTGTCGGATCCTAAAGGTCCGAAAGAAAAATAGAATATGAGAGAGATTAATGGAACCGTCCTGATATAATAGAGAGAGGGGATAAGGGCAGGGATGGATACCTTGAAAAGAGACTTTTGATGAAGTGGATCCATTCCATAGGGTTTTGGTGTCTTCTCTTTAAATATTCCTCTATTACTCCTATTTTGTGACAAAACACACTTCAAGTGGGTCTAATGTCTTTCCTTAAGCATTTCTTCGCAAGTTGCATTACGGTATGAGACAGAAAGTGCAGAAGAGAGAAAAACTCTTGAATTGATTAATGCAAAGCATCCAAATGAATCACCTCGTTTGAAGTAGTACATATCCAGGCAATATCTTCCATTTCGAAACAAGTAATCAGGGTATTTTTTTAAGTTCATTTCCAGAAGAACCTGAACAACTGATCATTCACGCCAAATCGAACAGTAAGTGAGCTGGATTACAGTATCTCGAATTCTGACGAAAATCGACATACTCGTAGAAGAATCGATGTAAAGACATAATTTTCAACTAATTTTTCATCTATCCTTCTGAAATCCAGATACAAAAAATTGTAATGAGACCCACTTTTTGCTTCCAGCACCCACACAAACGGGAATTGTGAAACTGTTTCTACAGTAACTTCCCCTCCAAGATAAGAAAACATCAGGTGTTTTTTTAATTGTGAAATTTCCGTCATTAAATTGATTCCAGACACAGATACCTAAACAGATTCCTAAGCTGAAACAATAAGCTTTACTTGACCAGTTTGAGTTCAGTTTGATCGAGTTCAGTGGCTAAATATCGACACTTGCCATCTCGGGAATTCGTTGTTTTCAATATTTCATTATAAAGTGCAAAGTATGCCATTTCTGACGATACAAAAATCCAAGTTTGGCATTCAATGGCTTGACGAGATATGAATATTTTTGCGCGCCAGTAGGGCCAATTTTCCACTAGTTTGAACACTTTCACTGAATTCAGAGACTGACACCTGCACTTTCCTCTCCATGAATGCCAAAATATAATGCATTATTAAGAATTGCCTTCTATACCCTTTCTAACGACACCAAATTCAAGGTTGGCACTCAATTGCTTCATGAGATATGACTAGTGTGTGTACCGAAAATTCCATTTGATCGAACGATCAGACTGATTTCGGCGACCGATATTTTCACCTTTTCTCCATGACTTTAAAGTTGTAGTATTCATTAAAAAGTGGAATTAATGCCGGTCCTAACAGTACCAAATTAAAGATTGGCATTTAGTGACTCAATTAAATATGAATTTTTCTCGCGGCAGTGCCAGCATTCTATTTTATCGAACAGCCGGACCAATTTCAGGGGCTAAAATCTGTACTATACCCTCCATGAATATAGAGTTACTAGTGGGCTGCAGCCGCTATGCTGGCCGTCTAATGGGCGGAAATGTGAAAATTTTCCCATAAGGATAAGAAGCAGTTCGGTTCAAACCAAACATGAACAATTGAACAAAATGAACAAGCCTGGAGAAGTTCGAAAGTGTTGCCGCCCAGCTAATTTTATTCTCCTCACAAATAAATCGCGAATTAGGGAATTAATCATAAATGGAAAAGACCATGTCAAACTCGAAAAGCGACAAATAAGCAAAAATCATTTCATTTGGAAATCAATATGAGACAGATGATGACAAAATCTGAAATATTTGCCGGATTAGTAGAAGAAATCACAGCAAATATAATTCTGAAAATTGAAATCAAGAACACAAAATTTGGTAGCAAAACCGATGTATGAAGGAAATTGGAATTTTGAATCTACAACACCTCCTTGTACGACATCGTCGGTAAAACACCATTACTCGTCGGGCCCTGCCTCTGTCCTTCCACCACTTGGCATTTGAAGCAATCGGCAGACCGGACTCGATAACAAGCAACAAAAGATGACCGTGGGAGAAACAGGGCTCCTGCAGCAAGAGACTAGCCATATCAAACGTTTGTCCCTGAGCTTTGTCGATGGTCATATCGTAGGCCAAACGAATGGGAAATTGTCTTCGGCACATAATGAAGGGAATACACGTATCGGTCGCTGTGTCGAGTGACACTCTGACAGTAAATGCAAGTAACCGCGCCGCGCACATGATCTCGACTTAGATGATGTTATCTTACATATCTCGAACAATCACCTGAGTGCCACTGCAAAAGCCGTTTTCAATAGACAGATTGCGAAGAAGTATGACTATGGCACCGACTTTAAGATTGAGATCATGAGGCGGTAAATCATTCGTGTTCAACGAATTAAGGAACTCGACGGGAAAGTTGACCTCTTTCGATCATCGTCTTCAACCTGATCTGCCTTTACAATGTCCGTGCTTTTGTATGATCTCAATGCACCTTCAAAACGGGACAGAACATCCTCGTTCGCCAAGCAAGAATGGTCATTTTTCAGGCATAAAAATTACACGCCGACTCAACAATTCCGCGTCGCATACGCAATGCTCTCGACCAAATACTTCGTTCGCTAAATTGTTTGCTAGGAAAATATCAGGGAGACGCACAGAGATTTCTATGTTCGGCCCGTAGCCCTGGGAATTGTGTCATTTCCGAGCTCAAGCAACCAATGCGCACTCAACCTCATTGGCGTTGGCTGGCATATTTGTGATTAACTGAAAAGTGCGGTAATGTTCCAAAAGCGGGCTCATCGTGATGAACTTAGCAAGAATCTGGCCGCGCGATGCCTTGGGGACAATTAGGAGAAGCTGGCGAAAATCGCCACCTAACACCATCACTTTACCACCAAATACAGAATTGCAACGCATTAGATCCCTGAGAGCGCGCTCAATGACTACAAAAGCATCATTCTGAGGCATTGGCAGCTCGTACCAATTTATCACATCGGCAGTTCGTATCGGACCTTTCCTTTCAAAGTGCAACTAGGTTCATTGTGCAGATCGATTGGAAGGGCGGTGGGACAAATTCAGAGAAATCGGTAAATAATGATATGCATCTCTCAATTTTCGCATTTCGATTAATTTTTCTCAAGAGAAAAAAACATCGACTGGATTTTCGATTTGTATCTCTCGCTTCCCGACCGCGCCGAGTCGCCCGAAAGGCGTTCGCAAAACCGAAATGCGTCTATAGCCAAGTCGAGAGGGTGGTTTGAGTGGCCTTGTATCGTCTAGACGCATGTTAACCTTCGTATTCCACTTCATCGCGCCGAGGAAGCCCCCCCCCCCCCCCTTCCCCCCATGAACCCTCGGGGCAATGCATTGACAGCCGAAGGATTCACACGCAACCGCCTGAGTGCTTGGCTTCTTCGAACCATCACCTTCCCTCCGACCCATGCGAATAGCTCGTGCGTCTCGAAGGATTCCCATGTAACCGCTTAATATATTATTCGAATCCAGTTTCATAAGGTGTTATTATTCTGTTTGGTGCGTTGGTGGTGCACCACGTATCGCCAGTATGGTAAGATCTGACTGTTAACTATAGACAGTTAACAGTCCTGTAAGATTACATAGATTACATAGATTCGTATTTGAGAAACGTAGTTCCTTCGCTGAAAGGCCCCGTTATCTCTCCTAAATTAGGTTTGTCTGACGTTAAAGAACAGTATTTGTAGCCTATAATCTTGAATCAATTGGTGCACCCGCAAATATTTTCGGAAAGTCTCTCCTACCCTCGAGATCATAGACTCGTCCTGCCCTGCCCCCCTGACTCATCAAAAAAAAAATTCAGCCACTGTGTACGAATTAAATCCGTCTGAAAACTGCGTATTTCTTGTACCCTTTGAAGGTTCAGCCTAGCTCTTCATCACCGCGGATGCCTAATATTATACTTCAATTTCATCGATGATTTTTCTTTAAACTCGGTGCCAGACTCCACCCTCCGTATTGAGTGTTATGCATGTTTTCATTATATTGTTATAATGATATGCGACTGAAGCAGTGACAGCTGTTTCGTTGAAGAAAATAAAAATGCCCCATCGGTGGTGGGCGATAAGTGGACATCTTGTGGAATGAACATGTGCTCCATGTGTTGGCGGATAAAAAGTAGCCCCTGACAGATTTTCCAAGCGATATTAAGAACAACTCCAGAGAAGGACGTGGTAGCCTACCATTACACATTCTCGCTGAGATGGCGCGAGAAAGTGAGAGGAACAAATCATAGGCCTTTCATGCAACAATTGCGACTCTCGCGAAAAGTTGTCCTCCATGTGATGCGTTTTTATCGCATCCAAAATTTGATGCGATAACCGTATCCAAAGTTCGATGCGATAAAGACGCATCACATGGAGGACAGAATTTTTCACGAGAAAAATGCCTCGAACTTAGGCACTGAATTTTCTGTGTGCAGGTCATTCCACCGGGCAGCAAAATTGCTGCGATTCCCGTCCACTCAACTAACAGCACCTCCAGACCCATATCGCTCAGAACATGAATTCACGTATCATACAGGAAGGTTTTACCAGTGCCGCCAGGGCCATCGATAAAGAAGCAGCGATGCGCACCTATTCACTGACCTGCCACCGATATTTGGTCAGCCGCTTCGCGCTGACTCTCATTGAGCATCTACATCATCTGCCGTGGTTCCGCTCTTCAATCGACTCGTATTTCACTGCGCGCACAATGTTCTCGGCATCTAGTGTCAACGCATTCGCCACCTCTTCGGACCACCACCGCGGACGAAGTCCTCAGTCATATCAGAACTGTTGTTGTTCCAAAGGCGCAATTGGTTGACGAGGGATACAGTGAATGAGGATCGTGCCATAAAAACTACGTAGCGCCCTAGGCATCATGTACAGCAGTGATCGGCAACTGAGTTTCACGGGGGGCCGGATGACGGAATGCTGCATGTTCGCTGGTCAACACCTATTAAGTGTCATTAACATTTCAATTTTGATGAATTCTTAATGTAAACGTCCAGCCAAACGGCGACTATCAGATCGTAATATGCGATAGATGGCCTTCTATGGCCTTCGGGGGCCATAGGAGGAGCTTCCGCGAGCCAGATCTGGCCGCAGGCCGCCAGTTGCCGAACACTGTTGTACAGGCCTAGCCGATGGCATGAAATGCCATATCTTTGAAGACCTTGTGTACTAGGGCGCAGGTGAATGACAACCATTCACCACCGCTTTCACCCTTTTTCATTTTCTATGGCCTATTTTCTAGCCCCTAGACTATTGGCCAGAATGGCAGAGCCTTGTAGGAATGGCTCTTTAGGCCATGGATGGCCTAGAACCGCATTGCATCGTAGGCCTCGCGCGTTAACGGTAAGAGTCACCACAAATTTCAGCCTATTTCAATTAAAGCATTAGGTAATATATATTTGAAAAGGGTACGTTATGTTCTTTCAAACGACACTAATTTCAATACTGGCACTCAAACGCTTCATAAGGTATGACCATTTAGCGAGAGCAGAAGTTACCGCAGTGCTCCACAAGGAAATCATGGAAACGTAGCCCAATGGCAAGCAATCCAATAGGGGAAATTAATGCCGATTTTTTCATGCACTTTCATGGTGTTCCTATACTGGGAAGTCACAAAATATTGTTACGGAGGGGAAACGATAGACGGGACTTAGAAGGCATGAGAGGCTGAAAGAAAGCCAGGGAACAGCGGGGACATGAACATGGGCCTCCTGATTGCCAGTCATGTGTGCTACTACTACACCACCGAACCCGGGACATTCAGTCGTGCCCCTCGATGCCATCCTAATTCCGTCACAATATTGAATAGTTTTACAATAATATATGCATTCCATTATTATTATGTAATTAACTAAATAATTAATTAATCCAGTTAATTGACTTGTTGCTGTTCAAAAATTAATATTTTGCATGTTTATATACCAGGTAAATAATGAAATCCTCAAAATTAAAACCCAGCAAAAATGTCGCTCCTGGATTTACATAACATGTGGCTGATTCCCAAGATTCCCAGATGCAGCTATAAATGCACTGTCAATGTCGTCAAATGACTGTCTAATATGTATAGACGATCGTGACTGCCTGACTGACTGACTGACGCTAATTCTAACCATGTTCCAGAAAGGTTAGAAATCTGAAACTTGGTACACATGTACCTTTTGGATTGCAGAGTTCAGAAAAAATCCGACTTTGGAGTTACATGCCCTGGGGGTACAAATTTTGGGGGGAGACGTTTTTCTTGAATATATATTGTGACAGATGAGGATAGCATTCAGAGAGTCAACTGGATGTCCCAGGTTCGGTGGTGTAGTAGTAGCAAATCTAACCGACAATCAGGAGGTCCAGGATCAATTCCCGCCCATTCTTTGGCCTTCTTTTGCCTTCCATGTCCCGTTACTCATTCCCCCTCCATAACATTATTTTTGCTTGAAGAAAACGGAGAGACATGGAAAGCTGAAACCTGGCATGGAGGTGCCTACAGTGTCGAAGAGATCAAGAAAAATGAAAAATTTTATATCCATGCCCTGGGGGATATTTTTTGGCCGACGTTTTCAAGTATTTTTTTGTCCTGGCGTATTGAGCTAGTGTGGAAAGATGAAACTTCGTAAATAACTACCTATTGGGATGTTGCGTGCAGAAAAATTCAGACTTTGGAAGTAAATGCGCTGGGGGCACAATTTGCAAAGGGAGATGTTTTCATATAATTTTTTTGCATCAGGTAAACTGATGAACATGGAAAACTGAAACTTTGCATGAATGTGTCTACTGAGACAAAGAGTTAAAGAAAAATGTTAAGTCTTGATACATCCCCTGGGGGAATGAGTAACGGGACATGGAAGGCAAAAGAAGGCCAAAGAATGGGCGGGAATTGATCCTGGACCTCCTGATTGTCGGTTAGATTTGCTACTACTACACCAACTCACGATCTTCCGTATATAATAGAAATATAATTTTTTCTTTACTCAGCACTCCATCAGGTACTTCTTTGCCAAGTTTCAGCTTTCATGCTACATCCCCTCCGGGCATGGCTTTTGGGTTGGTCGGCTTTTTCAAACATGATTTTTCACCAGCAAAAAGGGCAAACGTATAATATTGAAAATTTCTGAGCATGTAGTTTATTGAGGATGGATTTCAGTATTTAAGAAATGGTAAATTTCTGTTAAAATGGCTCAGGGCACACATTTTGCAAAAGGTGAATTTCCACGAATTTCCTGATCCAGCAAAACAGAGGCCGCATGAAAGTTGAAACTTGGCAAAGAAGTACCTGATGGATAGCTGAGTAAAGAAAAAATTATATTTCTATTATATACGGAAGATCGTGAGGAGCTGACTGACTGACATAAGTAGCTATTCTCATGCTGAGTTCAGGAAAAGTTCTACTTTGGTGATGCATGCCATAGGGGCACACCTTTTCGGGGAACATATTTTCAAATTGTTCTCTTTGCTTCAAACGGAGACACATGGTAAGCTGAAACTTTGCAAGAACGTGACCGTTGACGCACTGAGCTCAAATGTCAAACGTCAAATTTCCCAAATATTTTTGGGGTTCATATTTATTACGTTAATATATTTATTTTATTTTTAACGTTTTCAAATAAATTTTCATATCCTACCGAATCGGGCAGAAATAGAAAAGTAGCTGGCGCACGCATAACGGAAGTGATGTTGATAAAGGAAAAAGTCAACTTCTTTCGTGGGTATCCTCAGACCACAGCTTTTGGGTGGGTCGCTTTTCCAAATACATTTTTTCCGCCAGCAAAAAGGGTAAACGTATGAGGCTGAAACTGGTTGGCATGGAGTTCCCTGAGTCTACATTTCAAAAGAAAAGAGATTCTTGTTAAAAACCATCAGGGCACTTTTTCCTGCCGCATTTCCTGAATTTTTTTATTGATCCAACTAAATAGAGACAAAATTTAAACTTTCCTCAGTAGTACCTGTTTGCTGAGTACAGGAAGAATCCTACTTTTGAAATATGTCGCCTTAGCATAGATAGCATAGCATAGAGGAAAGTATTTCAAAATGTATTCTCCACTCTTACAAAAAAGGACACAAGAAAAGATTTCAAGTTAGGATTAGTTAAAGTTAGGATTATAGAATCATAAAAGTAATGATTTTGATAAAAGTCAAGACTTTCGACCCCACATGTCACGTATTTCAATGGGGACGTACTTTAAATACGTGTTTCCCATTTCGCAAGAAATTATTGAATTAATCACTATCCAAGGTAATGAAGCGCCGAAGGCGCGACCATTAGTATATTAGACCGCTGGTATATTATGAAGCTATTGAGTGGCAACTTTGGATTTAGTATCGTTAGAAAGGGTATAGCAGGCACTACTAAATGATGCATTATATATTGGGTTTCATGGAATGGAAAGTGCAGGTGTCGGTCATTGAAGTCGGTGGAAGTGTTCGAACAAATGTAAATTTTGCACTATTAGCGCACAAAAATATTAATATCTCGTCAAGCCATTGAGTGCGAATCTTGAATTTTGTATCGTCAGAAATGTCATACTATGCGCTTTTTAAAGAAATACTGAAAAAACGAATACCCTAGGTGGCAAGTGTCGATGTTGGCCACTGCACTAGATCAAAGTGTTTAATCAAGTCAGGCTTCTTGTTTCAGCTTAGGAACATAGGACCTAGAATCAATCAACTAAAGACGAAAATCTCAATTAAAATGACACCTGAATGAAGTTTTTAGCTTGAGGGAAAGTTATTGCAGAAACAGTTTCATAATTCCAGTATGTGTGGGCGCTGGGAGCGAAAGTTAGGTCTCATTGAAATTCATCTATCGTGAGTTCTGTGGGAGAGATAAATAAAGCAATTGGTCTCTTTAAATCGATTCCTCTACTTCTATCCGATTTTCGGAAAAATCCAAGATGGTCGAGCTCACTCGCTGGTCGATTTGGTTTAGAATGACCGATACGGAAGACACAGAGTCTACAGTTTCGTGGATTTGTGAAGTTATACTTATTCAGTTTGTGGTGCATTTTGCTTTGTTTTAAATTGCTTTATATTTGACTGGGGCCATCTGTGAAATTCCAGCGGAAATTTAAGGCAATCAGTAAATAATATATTGAAAATAGTCAACATTGTCATTATTTGAGACATTTGAGAGGGGTTGCAACAAAACTCCAGGCGAACGTACCTTTAGGAGTGAGGTTGGTGGAGAATATATCTTGAAGCAGCTTTTCTTGCCTGTCAAGCATGAAAGTTTCATAGATACGAGAAAAAATTGCTAATACATTTGAATTTCATAACTTTTGTCCTGTGTGACTTTTGGAATCAACGTTGTGAATCTTGGAATTAATTCACCTAGCATAGCGTTTGTCAAAAGTTTGTGTTAGTCAACACTTTACACATATACAGTAGTAATATCAGCTTTTTAAATAAATGGGTATGAAACATACTTGAAATATTAACAGTTCCGTTATATCTTTGCTACTACTATACCATTTTTTAACCCAAAAACCAATGAGCAATGTCATTGAATTCCAAATAAAATGAACGTTCATGGTAGTGTGATTGCCACACAGAGAAAGAAAAAAATAAGAGTTTTCAGCATTTGGAAAGGATACTCATTCACTAAGATGACCAAGTTGGCCTTAGATGCAGCATTAAGTCAAACGCTAAAACTTTTCCAAAAAATTAATTTCAGATGCACTTTAAAGTTCTTGCCTCACCAAGAACCAGTACTAACGAACTCTTTTGAGCCAATATCGATTTTTGGAAGTACCCATGACAATTCGGTAAGCCTTGATAGGAAAATAGAAAATGTAAACAAATATATAACTGAGTGAGATGGACTTCGCAAAGGAAATGGCTTTTCGCAGATTTGATAACCCTTTCCCAAAATAAATAATTTGAAAGGACTGGATACAAACCTTTTGAAATATTCTTCTAAGTTCCAGTTGAAGAGAGTCTCGACTTTGTTGAAAATCCTGCAGCAGACTTTCCCGACAATGTACAAAATCCAAATACAGACAATTCCGCATTTGATCCAAATCATACTGAAGATATGCAAGATTCGATGCCAAGCCCACTTGATGAAGGTTCTGCCCATGTACCAAAGCCAACTGTAGAATTGCAAAATGTGAGGCAAAACCCAGCTGCTGGCAGTCCTGTATATGTACCCAATCCAGATGAAGATATGCTGGATTTGATATTCTGTCCTGTTCCTGTTTTTCCCAACTCTATTTCGTTGAGATGGAGAGAATGTGTTAAGGCCTATTCGTTCCGAATCTGCTGATCTAGCAGAATCTGGAAGATGAGATGAAGAGGACTCAAGAAGGTCTACTCGTTCCGAATCTGCTAATCTTCCAGCAGTGTTCAGAGAATGCGTAGGAGTCAGAGGGGGTCGTCCATGCTTTTCTGAAATCCATCCTAGTGGTTGTATACAAAGAAATTAAGAGATTCGGGAAAATGGATTTTGATGGGAATATGGATACGGCAGACTCACGTAAATCTCTGGTAGGCCGTCTGTGGATCAGTAGAGGTGCATTACTCTCAATATCCTCAATGAATTCACGAATACTGCCTGTTGTCATATTCCACAGCATTTCATTCATGGAGACTGCATTTACTCCTTTAATTTTTTCTTCATCATTGGAGGGAAACTCTCCTTCCTCCTCCTTGGTGAAGTAGGAGGAGCTATTGATCCGAAAATGCTTTTTGCATATGAATTTGGCTTCTTCCACTGCATTTAATACGGGGAGGCGCGAGCTGTCAGCGAATGTGCAGAACAAATACGAAATCTTTTCAGACTCGTCTCCCAATACTTTGACCATGTTCGTCATAACCGTCTTCTGCTCCGCTGTTAATCTTCCCTGTTCGTGTGGAAGATACAGATATAACTCACCATAAATTATTTTATCAATTTGCAAGAGGGAAAACAAGTTTAGGAATTGAGGTGGTATATTTAAAAAAAATCTGTGTGAAATGACTGAGAACGAAATATATTAAAAGTTAGTTCCTGTAACGTTGCCCACCCACACACATGGTGCATATAAGTTCACATCCTTAATAGCAAAACACTCGTAAAAATGCAAAAGTTACCCTCGCGAATTGGATAGTTCTGAAAGTTCTTGAATTTAGAGTTGACTCATTGACAATTGCAGTATTACCAGGTGCAAAAAAATAAGGCGCTGCTGTCAAAAATGTTATATTATAAACTGCCTGAATATGCAGTAATGTATGTTTAAAAACACATGCATTGCCAAAATTGATTACATTAACCAAGTTCTCGCAATGTTTCTCAATCTTGGTTCAGCCATAGAAGGATAATGAAGGTTGTGATTAAAGGTTTTCACACTTTTTGGCCTCTCATCGTCAAGGCAAGTCAAAGCATGATTTCTTTTGATTCAACTCATCTTTCGCGTCAGTTTTAATCAAGATGATGTCTGAGGCAGATGTTACAGTGTTAAGCGTATTTTCTTGAAGAAAGTGGGTACAGACTTCATTAAAAGAGCGATTGCTTGATGAAAACCTCAACTCAGTGCTGTCGTCCAGCCCATAAAAGGACATCCAACCTTCTACGAATTTCAGTGAGTCTCCTTGAACTTGCAGGGACTTTAAGATAGTGACTAGTGCCTTTGAAGAGCTCATGAGGTTAGATCAGCCAGGGGAAATCTGGCAAATAATGTTTACAAAACATGAAGATGTCTACTACCATCAACTAGTTAGTTAAGTGGCGAGCTACAAATATGATAAAAGAGATACGAGGAATTCGGAAGCGTATAGGGAACACTGGGACACTTCTCGCTCTAGAACGAAGGGTAACCTCATTCAGGCTTTTAAGATCAAGAGAATAGATAACATGGAGCATGATAGATTCTTCCAATTCGGAGGTTGCAGTAGAGAAGGAGAGATAAACCCGGGTTGATTTAATACTAGCGAGACTCAGGTAGCGTAATGACTTCTTTACTTGTACGGTAGTTAACCCTGGAACTGCCGTAAGCAGCACAGAGGGCTACCAACGTCGTTTTTATCGACGGCTGGCAGTTCTAGGGGTAATGTGTGAAATACATCATGTACAGGGGTAGTGACAGCCTCTACCATGAATAGCTTTAAGAAGCTTCATGCCTTCATGGAAAACAATACAAAAAAGAGAGCATCGTAGCTGTAAGCGACTTGACAGTAGTTAGAAGTTGTCCCGGAAAATTATCTATCTTTAAGAGGACTAGGCCTATCTCATGATGCGTTAAAACACGACCTGGACGCGAAACGTCATGATGGCATTTCATTATCGCAAACCTAACTTTGAACCTTGAACCTTGGACCATGGAAAAAGAGATAGGAAGATGTTTCGGTTCATAAAAAGGGCACCATACTTGTTTTCCACGTCAAATATGGGCATGAGAAAGCCAAATACGGGATGGAAATTCAAATCCAACATTAGAAATTCAAATTGCCTTAATAATTATAGTGAATGGAAAGTGAGTTAATTACTAAAGGATAACTAAGAGCTGATTTTCAATCGTGAAAAAGCGAATGAGTTGGAGGACCTTCAATAGTACTGACTATATCCTATTGACTGTTCGACTGAGTGACTGACCCTAATTCTAACCATGTCCTACTGAGGTTATCAATATTAAACTTGGTATCACGTGAGAACATCGACGACAAAACATCGACGTGACAAAACATCGACGTGACAAAACATCGACGTGACAAAACATCGACGTGACAAAACATCGACGTGACAAAACATCGACGTGACAAAACATCGACGTGACAAAGCATCGACGGGACAAAATATCGACGAAATGAAGCGGCGACATACCAAATTATTTTTCTCTGATTTTTTTGAGCCCGCTGATATTACATAACTTTCGAAGAGCCTTGCTGCAATTGTCTATCAATCCAGGATGACAGATGGAAGATAGCTTGAGGAGGACATCGTGGCTTCAGCAAGCATCTTGCGACTAATTATCCTTCTATATGGAAGTTTATTGATTGTCTCAAGAATAAACAGAAGCTGAATGAACTTAGGATAGAACAGTATATTGCATGACAAGATCCTCCAAGCCGCAAAATGAATCGTCAATACACTCTCGAATAAACTCTATTGTTTTGCAGTATTTGCAGCGACTATTGAAAGAGTATTTGCTAAGGATTGCACATAATTTCATTCTTCAGGTGTATAGCTGATTTGCTACAGTGTACCGTACAATGACAGGCCCCTCTTTTCAATACGTTCATCTGTTGTCATCGTTTACAAAGCGTGAAACCTTATTCTAATTCCTTTTCTATTCATTTCGTCTCAATTGACGTGGTTTGAATTCATTTTAATTGAATGTGTACGTAGCAATAACATGTAAAAAAATTGGTACTTCCATTAAAAGATTTAACATTTTTCTCTTCATTACAAGATCTCAACTGTACCATATAGAATCAAATATATCCTGTGATCTACGAAATCTAGCCAAATGATTTTTTATTTGAACCGTCCTTCATGAGAAACAAACTGCAAATGAGCTAATTTACTGTACATTATAGGCGGATGAATAGCTCCAAGATGCTTGCTGAAGCCATAATATCATCTTCAACCTGTCTTTCATCTGTCATCCTGGATTGACAGATGATCGCAGGAAGGCCCAATGAAGTTATGTAACTGCAATCTTGAATAAAAAAAGATCCGAGAAAAATAAATTGGCATGCCGACGTTTAATTTCACCGATGTTTCTTCCCGTCGATATTTTCTCGTCGATGTTTTGTCGCTTCGATGTTTCGGCGTCGATGTTTTGACATGGAACCCTGAAACTTGGTGCTATTGGGATGGAGAATTAAGAAAAAATCCTACTTTGGAGGCAAATGTCCTCGGGATATATTTATCCAGGACATTTTGACAGTTTCTTTTACATAAGCCAAACGAAAAGACACAGAAAGCTGAAACTTGACAAGAACATGACTACTGACTGACTGAGTTCAGGGTAAATGTGAAGTATCCCACATATACCTTGGTAAAGAGTTTTTGGAAGTGATATTTTAACGAATTTTCTTTTGTCCTTCCGAATCAGCAAAAACAGAAGCGTGAAACTTGACACACACAAATGACATGATGTTGAGTTGAGGAAAAATTTCAAATTTTGTGGTGCAACCTAAGAGCACAGCTTTTGGGTGAGTCGTCTCTTTAAATACATTTTTGCACCAGCAGAAAGGGCAAAAATAATAAGACTGAAACTTGATGGGTACAGAGTTCTCTGATTACCAAATTAAGTATAAGAAATATTATTTTTCAGGTAAAACCCCTCAGGGCATATATTTAGTGAGCAGCGCGTTTTCCAGGATATTTTTCATTCCACCAAAACAGAGCGATAGAAAGTTGAAACTTGTCTCAGGTAACTGCTCCATTGCTGAGTGCAGAAAAATCCAACTTTTAAATGTCTCCTCAAGGCAAGCATTTCAAGATTTCAGTTAATATATTTTCCGCTCTGACAAGGGGCACATGAAGAGATTTGAAATTAGGTACGCATGAAATAATCAAGGCAATGATTTAGATAAAAAATATTTGTTAAGACCCTTCATGGCAAATATTTCGACAGGGACGTACTTTATATAAGTTTTTGCCACTTCGAAAATAAAATAATTAAGCAATCACTATTCTGGATAATAAAGCACCAAAGGCACGACCGTAGCGAGTTTGTTTGCCCTTCCGGTAAACAAATTCGCTAGTCTAACAAATTGTTCCTGCAGGCAATTTCATGCATCTGAACGTGTCTGGAGTGAAATGACATTTCACTAAAAGCGTTTGAGTCATAGCTTTCACTACAAGAGGCCGTAACATTTGACTTTCAGACATGCACAAATAGAAAGTTTAGCATCCGACAGACCTGCTATACTGTTTTTCCTCGTGTAACATATGACACCATATATGCCAATGTCGAGATGTGGCTCCCACGACTCTTATGCATCGCTATTGGAATTGGAATATGCTTACTAGCAGATGATAGTTTCATATCACGAATTTCCATGTCGCATTTATATTTCCACATTTGTATCAGAGAACCTATATAACCAATTTAAAAAATTAAGATAAAACAAAGAAGGCTTTTCAGAGAACGTTTAATGTCATGAGAGGGATGAATCGTCGAAAGTTGAGAAAAATGTGTGCAGAGTTTCACCACCCGATGTTCAGCCGCTTGTCTGATAGAGCGCTAATAAGCAGACAGACACAAACGGAGAAGCAGACATACATCGAATTGGCATTGATTTCGGTATTCAATGCTTTTTTTTGCATTCGCTATTTTTTTTAACTTATTGAATTATTATTGAACTCAGGAGAAAACCGTTAACAAAGGCTCAATACCTCAACACATGAATGAGCAGGTCATTCTAATGTAGATCACATGCTGTAAAATCCAGCACTTCTGGTGATGACATTAAAATGAATTTCAAATCAAAGAGGTTCAACAGCATTTGTCCAGGAGATTTAAAGTGTTTAGAATGGCGAGCATTACATTGTTAAGGGGAGAAGGAAGAAGCAACCTGAGAGCCTGGGAGGACGTAGGCAATGGCGTGGATTCCTTCTGGGTGCTTCGAGTAAATATAATCTTGGATGTCTTTCGTCACCATCTGGTCTTGCTGGGGCGTCCCCTTTTGAAAGCCTGGCGTATCAATGAGAGTGATGGGACGACGAAATTTTCCTTGGTTCCTGGTGAAAAAAGTATAGGAGCTGATCTTTGCCGTGGGTCCGTCATCCTTCACCTGGAATCGATAGGGGTCCCGGAAATCTACTCCCAGACCATAATTCCCCATAACCTCCACCAACATGGATTTCCCTGCCATTGAAAAAGAGTGGGGGAATTTCAAAACCAAAACCACTCTTCAATGGTATTATATGAAATGAGAAAGAACCTGATCCAGTCAAGCCGAGAAGAAGGACATTCAAGCATTTTTCGCCTTGTTTATTTTCTCCCAATTGGTGACGACCTGGGACAAGCGGGAATGGAAGACGATAGATTGTGATGTTCTCCCTTTGAGTAGCTTCGCTCCTTCTCATCAACTTCTCGTGAAAACTTTCTTTCTCCGTCTTCATCTCTTGGAAATGCACAACTGAGAAGTTGCTATTTTCCCTGTATATTTAATCCAGATAAGGGTTATGGATAGCGAAACATTTATCCTTAACCACCTAATTACCATATATTGGTGCATAGTGAAATTCGATGAGAACATGACGCATAAAGGCAGAACATGAATGAATTGGAATTTCTGTATTATCAAAGAAAGTTTTAGAAATTAAACTCTGCAACTACGACTTTTCCTTGCTGAAATTACAGTCATATTGAATTTCTACTATTGGATGATCTTTGAGTCACGTATAAAGCCAATCAGGTAGGATACTATAATGAAATAATAAACAGGGTGTTCAAAAAGAAACGCAACCCATGGAGAATCTATATATTATTGTAACCTATTGCTTTTTTTCTGTTTAAGTGATCTTTAAGTACAGGAATGGCGTACAGTAGACGGCACATCAAAAGAAACATTAAAACAAGTGTTCGATAACATGATTCGTCGTTTACACTTAGGCGCAAACCATGATGTCATGATTCACCAATTTTTGCATTTAACTAATAAACATGCATTCCCTATGGGTTGCGTTTCTTTTTGAACACCCTGTATTATATGTTATTCGTGTTTCCAGGCTGACTGATAAAGAACTTATTTTCCTTCCTGGAAGTGAGGGGGGACGGGATATTCCGAAAGGATTCTGTAATATTTACTTCATGCGGACCGCTCCTTAGTTGTCGCTCGTATCGGTTCGTTTTGATGAAGGTGAGGCTGAAAAGTTAGGGTATACTTCCTCTTAAAGTTCAATCAACACATTTATTTCACCATTGCGTCATAACTCACAGCTAAAAGTAAAGTTCTTAATCTAACCTAGAGAAAATTTTTGTTTTGACTAATATTTGCCCCTTAAGCTCGTCTAAATCAAAAAACAAACATCAGAGCAACTGAAAGTGCAATGCCAGCATGGCACTTTCCTGTGGTGAATACTGCTTTAATGCTGCTGTAAGTTACAATGATGCTGCTACCTCATTAAAGTTAACCTTTAAAGTTGCGTATTGGTACAATGTGGTAATGTGAAAACCATTTTTCAAAGGCGTTCCCTTTCTGCAACTCAAAACCCAACCTCAACCCTACTTACACACTTACACACTTCCCCCACCCCCTTCCTTACGGAACTCATTAACATTAGGCCTAGGCCTATCTGACGGATTGCCGTCGACCCGACGAGTTTCTTTCGACTGAAAAAAGTTAGGCCAAGGACCCCTTGGCCTAACTTTTTTCAGTCGAAAGAAACTCCTGGAATTACTGGGCCAATAAAGATTAATCTCTGATCATCGAAATCTCTCGAGTACGTGTAACGTTACACCGATTAGACGTCTGATTCGTGTTTCAATAACCATTTTTGTGCGGAAATGGAACGTTAGGCAAATTTAGAGTTCCTCAACCCATCTCGACGAGTGAGAAAAAATGCCTCTAGGAAGTAGGAATACAACCTGGGCGCCATTCAATTAATTTACGGATGTACGAATGAAACATCTCCACATCCCACCAAATCGATTGGGTACGAGCCATTATTTAAATCTCAGCTAAACTAATGACCTCGACACAAAATTATATCGTACATTTAAAAAAAGTTCCAAACATCGATTCTAAGACCTAAGAAGTCACAAATCTGGCATAATTAAGGCACGATATCTGGCAACTCTGAAGGACGGGACCGGAGCCGTCACACTAAGCTAAATTAGTAGCAGCTAATACCATTTTTAAATGTCAAAATGGAGCACTGGAAGCAACAAAAAGGTCACTTTTTGTCACCTACAATACAATATTTTTAGTTTGGTTGGTCTCTTTTCTCCAAAAACTCTCCTGAAGTGGCTATCCATGGAAGGAGAAAAAGAAATACCCAAACGAAATTCACATCTTCGAAAAGCGAGATTCAGTGATCTCCACAATCTTGAGAAGATGGAGCTTTAAATTTGAAGGAGTGATTCTGCGTTGAGGGACGAAGAAGCATGTCAAATTTCGTTCCTGTTGATTCTCTTAAAGAGGAATAAGAGACGGTTGAATTTTTTTTCGCGGGAAGAGGTTGAAGAACGGTAATAGGCGCTACCAAAGCCTTTTGATATACAGGGTGCTTCCTGCATTATGTAAAAGAATCAAATATGGCAACCGATTGAGTGCGCTAATTCAATTAACCGAAGATGGAAATTGAATATTTCATCAGTAGGCGTTTGTTTTGCTCACTGGAACAAGCAAGTTCTCAATGCTACAAATTGATGGAACAAGGTTTCCATGTAATGTTCATCTCGATTGGCAACGACCATAACCTAACTAAGCAGTTCTAAATATGAGATCAAGTAAAATTATCGCTCAAAAGAGGGTAAGGTGCAGAGTCCGGCCAGCATGTCAGAGTCCAAAGCCCTACTCATGGAAGGTCAGAAGGTTAGAACTCCACTGGTTCCAACTCATTCTCCAAAAATTATAACGAATATTTTTCTATTCGATTTTTGAACGATGCCTGTCATGCACCATGGAAATCAGAATAGTTCAGTTTCTTAGGAAAATAAAGGCTTATGGCCGATAATTTCCTTAGCAGCATATAACATTGAATCAACATTAATTCAACGTTGGTTTAAAGTCCAGATGGTGAATCAGCATTGGATCAATGTTGTTTCAATGTTATAAGCTACTAAGGTTAAAAGGCGCTCTTTTTTACTATGTAATTGCTTTCTATTTTGGGCGTACGGTTCTCTACCATCCCCGAAAACTTGGCTTTGAAGCACTCTCTTTAGCCTTACTAAAGGTTTGTGGCAATAGAACTGGCCTTAGTAAAAAGGGAGGAGTCTCACTGATGGGGCCAGGGAAGAAGAGGACGGTAATTGAGCACTCAGGCAATGCACCTAGAGAACTGTCTCTCTTTGGGCATGTCCATATCTTCCTTATAGTTCCCTTAGCAACAGCGGCACTCCAGATAAGGACTTATCACTTCCTCTCCTACAGAAGAGAGAATATGCCTGAAAAAGTGGTTTCCTGTTTATGACAAAAATCCGGAGCGTTTGCATTGAAATCATATACAGAACTCCCTACTCGTGTAGGGGAAAAGGAGGAAGCTCTTCTTCCTGAGGAACTGATTCATCAGATGATAAAATAATTACCCGTGCTGAAAATGTCACTACCTGGAAGCGGTGGAAGCTCATAATGAGGAGGTTATGAATTAGGCCCGAAAACAGCCCCTAAAAAGGGACCCAAGTACTTGTAAAAAATGTATCTTGATTGCACGATTTCAAGTAAGGAGCCTGTAATGGAGGAACTTGGCCACATATTTTCATGCCTTAATTTAGTCCCGTTCATTTCCCAGAAGTGGACGATAAGAGATCCAAGCTACAATGACGAAAGACAGGTATTTCTCCTGACAAGTCACGCATGAGATGACTAATGCACGGTAGTCATGCTGTGAATAAAAGGAAAAGGTGTCGCATTCCTCGCTCGAACACAATGAGGCTCACAATGAGGCCCTATGTCAAGTACTAATTTTCTTGGATTTGGCACTTTTGTTTCCTAAACGCCCTCCAACATCGATTCCCTTCATATCTGTCCATGTTAACACATTATCAATTTGCGTCCCAAAAATTGGTTTGGTCGATCATTTTTGCGCTCACTTGATAGAAAACACTAACTTATGTAGGCATAGCAGCTCCCATTTCCCTATATTGCATCTCTTGCGCTTGAGCCAAATTTAAGATTCACTTCCATTCTTAACTTAAAGGTTAAACTTCCCGCTTCCTCCCGATTACCAAAAATGGAATGCAACGTTCGCATATGACTCACAAAAAAGAATATTATATGTTAAGCTAATGCTAAAAGAATGGAATCAGACTTCCGCATTGCCATCAAGGTGTTCTGGCAAACCATCCGAATGTTACTGCGAGGCAGGCAACGTACGCTCCAGGTCATCAAAGACAGAAACGGGGAGGTGTTGGCTGCCGAGGCGGATATACTTGAGAGATGGAAGGAAAATTTTCAAGAGTTCTTAAACCCACCAACAGTGAACACTGACCTACCCGACCTGGAGCCTCTCAGCGCGGAGACTAGTCTCACCATGGAGGAAGTTCTGCTGGCCAATGCTAGCCTGAAGAATAGGAAGTATCCTGATGTGGATGAAATCCGGGCGGACACTCTGAAAGCAATGGGTACAGATGGGTTCTCGTGGCTTTATAGGGTGTGTCAGGCTGCTTGGGAATCGGGAACGGCACCTAGGGATTGGCAAACCGGTGTGGTGGTTCCTCTTTTTAAGAAGGGGGACTCGAGGGAGTGCACGCACAATCGTGGGATCACTCTCCTCAGCATACCTGGTAAAGTCTATTCCAAGGTGCTGGTGCAGAGAGCTCGGGCAGTCGTGGGTGATGCCATTCAAGAGGAGCAGTGCGGCTTTCGTGAAGGGCGTAGCACCACGGACCAGCTGTTCACTCTCCACCAGATCCTCGAGAGACATTGGGAGTATGCCAAAGATGTCGACATGTGCTTTGTGGACCTTGAAAAAGCCTACGACCGTGTACCCTGAGGAAAACTGTGGGGAGTGCTGCAGGAGTATGGGATCAAGGGTCAGCTATTGCGGGCTGTTCAATCCCAATACAGCGATTGCAGAAGCTGCGTCCGAGTGAGCGGGAGGAGTTCGGATTGTTTTCTGGTACGCGCTGGACTCCGGCAGGGTTGTGTCCTCTCACCTTTCCTGTTCCTTGTGTACATGGACAGGATCTGTAGGCGCAGCCTCGGCCTGGAGGGGGTCAACATCGGTGACGTCGCGGTAAGGATACTTCTCTTTGCCGACGATGCCGTTCTCTCGACCCGCTCTCGACAGGAGCTCCAGAGCGTCCCCGATCGGTTCGACTCCGAATGCACTGCACTTAAGCATAGCTTCATTTTCACCAAAGTCTTAGTACCACAGAATTAGGTAGGTTTATCCTAAAATAGATTCCTTTATTGTTTGACCATCAGGAAGTCCACTTCTGTAACAAATATCACTACTGTACCAGAGGTACATATCATACAGCACATGTCGAGTGTGGTAGGTTTTTCCAGTTTGATGACAGCAAGAGAACGAGAGGTAACCGTCTTAAGTTGCGCAAACCGCAGGTGCGGCTCAGGTCGAGACAGGAATTATTTACTTGCAGAGTGGTGAACTCTTGGAATGCGTTAGATGGCGAAGTAGTGGCTGCCCCGCGCTGTGATTATCTTTAAGAAGAAACTGGATGCTTTCATGGACAGGCAAAAAGGTGGGGGGCAATGTTGACGTTAGGTACTAGACAGTATGCAACTAGGATAGTCTAAAACAAAAACAAAAAAAGACAAAAATTTTTAGCTTTAAGAGGGTTAGGCCTACCCTAAAATTAAGGAACGCTCGACCTCGACACGTGAAATCGCCTCTTGATATCACTAACTATATTGAATCTTGAAAAAAAAGCACCACAAATGGTATTGCTATGAGAGTGAAAATACTCCAATGGAAAACTACAATGTAGAACATACGCATACACAGCTTAGGTGACACCTACAAGGCACGACTCAAGACATGCCTTCCACACCTCATAATTCGTGAATGAAAATTTCAGGGATAACCGACTCAATGTCCTAAGGTGAAAGAAGAAACTGAAATTGAAGACAGATTGGGAACGACGACAACGAAGAAAAGAGAAGCCCTTTTCTGTCATGACTTAGAACCCGAGTGTCAGCGTTGGTGTACTGGTATATCCCTGGTCGGCCCCTCAGAGTAAACGATATGAACCGTTACAAACCGGTGTGATCAGAACGTTCCGTTCCGTTATATCGTTCCTTCTCCCTCATTCATATCGTTCCGTTCAAATTTTCGTTCCAGTTTATCGTTCCGTTCCGTTCCAGCTCCGATGCCCAGGTTTAGAGTAGCTTGACACAGAGGTCGATGGCCGGATGAAGAATAAACCATGCATAAATATTGCATCTTTTTCAATGCGGCCCATTCCAGATTGACTAACGTTATTAGTGCGGCCCATTCACGGTGGACCAAAGTATCTGTGCTGCCTTCGCCTTAAAAATTTGGGGACCACTGCTATAGAGGGACCCAGGTATTTTAGGAATTTTTGACGAGGAAAGAAGGGTCTTGATCGCATGATTTCAAGTACGGAGCCTTTAATGGAGGAACTTGGCCACATACTGTCGTGCATTAATTTAATCCATTTCATTTCCCAGTAGTGGAAGATAAATAATCGAAGCTACAATGACGAAATACAGATATTACTCCGGACGAGTCACTCATAGAAATGACCAATGCACAGTAGTCATGCTGTGGATGAAAAGAAAAAGGTGTTACTTTCTTGACTCGAAAGCATTCAGGTTCACCTGGCCCTTTTCCCGTTCTAATTTTCTTGGACTCGTGTTTCCTGAACGCACTCCAACATCGATTCCCTTCATATCCATTCATGTTAACCAATTCGGAATTTGCGCCCCAAAAATCGTGAAGACCGGTAATTGTGCCTTCCCTTGATTGAAAGCACTAACTAATGTTAGCATATCAGCACCCATTTCCCTAGATTGTATCTCTTGCGCTTGAGTCAAATTTGAGGGTTTTCCCTGCCAGGTTTTGACTGTTTCTAAGATGACTCTGACTTCTGAGTCAATGTCATCCTAGAAACAATGTACAGTCCGCAAGTGGTTTCTGTTCGGCGAATGTTGACGACATTGGAGATATCATGTTATGTAGAATTCAGGTATCAAGTGCGAGTTCATAATTTTCTCAACAAATAAACGAACATTCAATCAGCGTTGTATGAACGTTAAATTTGAACATTCCCACCGTTGTGGTGGCGTTGCATCTAGCATTAAGTCAATTTTTCAATGTCGCTAATCGGAATACCCAGATGAACGTTGAAATTCGACACTGGTTAAACGTTGAGCCAACATTGCAATGTCACTTATTGGAATGCTCACTCCCAGCCGTGTAGCACCCCAATACTGGATCAATAATGATGGCCAAGAAATGCATATGTCGTAGGGTTTCGTGGAATTCAGGGGGATTCCGAATCTCCCTAGGGAGAGACAGGATTCCACTAAACCTGCTGGTTTAGTAAATGTGGTTCCACCTGAACATGTAGGATTCAGTCCTGCAAGGAGCTGTTGTGACCAAGTGCTAGCACTGACGTCACACATTGAAACCGGATTTCAAAAATCAAATCAAATCGGGCGCGGCCTTTGTCGATCTGACATCGACCTACAACACCGTGTGGCGGAAAGGACTCCTACTGAAGCTGTCCGATCTGCTTCATTTTATGCGCATGGTGCGCCTCATGAAGTCCATGCTCACCGACCACTCCTTCCGCGTCCATCTCAGCAGGCCAATTGAGAAAAAACCAGCTCCTCGAGAATGCTCTCCCTCAAGGTTCATTCCTGACCCTGACTCTACAGGCTCCATTTGCTTTCGGCGAAATATATTATATCTAGCTCCTCTCCTGTATATACTGTTACGGTTCCGTGCGTTCTCTTCTACTGGTGGTGGGAATCACAACACAATAGGTCAGGGCTGATACAAAGCAGGTTTTATTGGAAAATGACAGATTGGAAAATGGAAGATCCTGGCAGATTACGAAAGGGATAAAGGGATCGGGAACGTCTACTCCCAAGGGATAAGAAGGTTCAGGGAATCGGGAACGTGTAATCCCGAGGGGCAAGAAGGTTCAGGACGGCAGGAATGTCTAATCCCGCAGGGTAAAAGGTGCTGCTGCTTACCGCCCGTGGACGATAAGCGAAAAGAATACAAGGTACAAAAGCTGGAATGAGCTCTCTGCTCTCTCTTCTCCTCTTTGAAAAAAGGGGAAGAACCTCACTCCTCAGGCGCGTGCGGTCTTGTAGTACATGCCATCATTCCTTGGCGCTCAGATGCCG